TTATTCGATAAAAAAAAAAAACTATTTTAAAATCGTTATTGTTACAATTGTTGTTCGTCAAAGATTAAGTCTTCATTTCTTTGTCATAAGATCACCAACTTTCTTAACTTTCTAGACATTGTGGAGGCTTCAATTTCATACATGGTGTTAGAAATTTTTTTTTTAAAAAAAATTTAAAAATTAAAAATAGAAAAAAAAAAGTGTGATTCTAATTTGATGGGAGGATAATTTCTTGAGAGGATAATTAGAGACTTAAATTTTAATTTTTATCTAATACAAAAATAAAATATATATTACAATATATTCAAAAAAAAATGAAAAAATTAATGCAAGTTTATTTAAAAACTAAACCCAAATATCATTTTAAGTAGTATTAAAAATTTATATTTTAAATTAATTCAAATTTTATAAATAAATCACAATAAACAAGGTATGAAAATCAACAGTAAATTAAATAATTTAATTAATTAATTAATTAATTTTAATTCCAACCCTTTTCACTATAAATTAAATACAATGAAATATTTAAGTAACTTATTTTTATTTATTTATTTATAAGCCGCAATAAATAAAGGCACTTCGTAATTAAGAAATTTGGAGTTTCTTAAAAACGGTTAATTCGTTAAGACTTCGAGCTGTTCCCTCTTTTGCCGCGAGAGACAGAACAGGAAACAAAAAACTCTGGTCTAAAAACAAGGATCAAAAATAGGAAACCTTTTCTGAATCTATTATTATTAATCATAGTTTCTTAAAAAAAAAAAAAATTAAAGGTGGTGAATTTTTTAACCACACTTCAAGTGTAATAAACGGGTAGGATTTATGAAGGAGGAAATAAAAAAGGAAAATTCTTGTTTTAGGTTTCCGATTAATTAACAATTCCCCCGGTCATTATTGTTTCTTCTATCTCTCTTCGGTTCATCAAATTACATTTCCTCAGAAAAGTTTCTTCTTTAGGTGAAACTCGAAGGGAGATGTTCATTTTCTTCTAATAATCTAATCGCATCTCGGGGTAATTTTTGTTTTTAAATTTGTTTGTATCGATTGGATACGGCAGAAAGCTTCTTACTTTTCTATATTTCATCTTCTTCTGTTCTTAAAAATGTATAAGTTGTTTTGTATGTGTATTCTGATACGGCATAAGATTTAGTTAAAAGGCTCAAACGCATCTTGGCAGCATGTATATGTGGGTGTATGCATATATGTATACGTAGGTGTGGTGAGTGATATGTATGGATTTATGTATTTTGATTTTGTAATGCATTTTTAACTGGGTGTGAACAGGATAAGAAGAAAATGATCAGGTGTTTGATTTTCCTTTCATTGTTGCTTCAAGTAAGCTATGCACAAAAAGTACCTCAACCAGATCCATCAACCACAGGAGATGCTCGTAAAAAATGGCTAACTTTGAATGGTAACAAGGATTTTAATCTTCTCCTTTCTTTCCACTCTTCTTTAACTTTGATTTTCTTTGTTCAAATCAGTCCTACCATGATCAACACAATAAAATCTCTGTCTATTAACATTTGTTGATCTTGATCAAGATAATTTACCAACATGGTTCAAATTTGGTTTGTAGGAGGACAGCCAGAGATCATAGCTCGGGGCGGATTCTCAGGGATTTTCCCTGAATCCAGCGCACCTGCAAATCAGATGGCATTAGACACCAGTTTGTCAGACACGGTATTGTTGTGCAATCTGCAACTTACCCAAGACGGATTTGGAATTTGCTTGCCTGATATCAGGCTCGATAACACAACCACCGCGCCCATGGTGTTTCCCAAAGGCAAGAAGACCTACAAAGTTAATGGACAAGATGTTCATGGCTGGTTTGCTTTGGATTATCCAATTGACCAGTTACTTGGCAGTGTAAATTGTAAGTCTAAAAAGGACCTAAATGTTAAGTTTTTGTTCCTATTCTCATGATGATTCTATGATAACATTCTAATATTACGTAATAGTTCAGTGAGTTTATATATATTTTGTATGACTCAGTAATTCAAAACATTTTCTCGAGACCGAGTCTCTTTGACGGCCTATTGCCAATTTCAAGTGTTGAGGATGCTGTAGGAGTTAGACCTAAAAAGTTCTGGCTGAGTGTTCAGGTCTCTTTCTATATCTCTCGTTCCTTGATTTCAAACCTACCGACACTAGCATTGTTATGGTGACATGGGTCAATTATATATCTACTCTATGTTGCAGAATAATGCATTTTATGCCGAACACAAGCTCAGCGTAGCAGCATATCTACGAACTGCAAATAGAGTTATTATAAATTATATTTCATCACCTGA